CCCTCGCATTTTAAACTGTCCAAAATAAGACGCTTCATCTGTAGCTTACCCTGATACCTAGTAGGAAGACGCTTAACTACAGACACTTTGCCCCCTTTCATTTCTTTCTTGAGTTCTTCCATGCTGATTTCTATCGGAACTCCACTGATAACTCCAAGTATTTTCCGATTTGCTCCAGGAACATGGCATTTAATTCGAACTTCATTCAAGGTCTTCATTTTTAGTAACTTTTCCTGTTGTTTTGCATTTATCATTTCTACCAACATCCGTCCTTTGCTCAGAAATCTTGCTTGCTTTATCGATCCAATTTCTTTGTGAATTGCTTTAGTCAGGGCCACTGGATGTAGCTTAGCTGCTGATTGCTCACCAAACTCCACAATCACTTTCCACTCTTCATTCTCAATCCTTTGCTTTACTCTTTTCATTTCATTCTGCGAATCAGACTCACTGAGACTGTCACTTGACATGTCTATCTTCTTTCTTGAAATCTTTGTTCTTACTTAATTCCATCCTCCTTCTCCTTCAGATGCACTTTCCATATCCTCCTCTCCAGGACTCAAAGACGCCATTCCACCAGCTGCTCTCAATCTCGCACTCACCGTCCTCTCACCAGCCTTGTGCTGGGGTTGCTCAGCACTCTGGGATTTCTACTGCCTCCAAACTCGTCCACCGAGTCGTTACATTTACTGTGTAATAATGTTTTGAACCTCTGTTGTTTGATATATTTAGCAGATTATGGCATTAGTTTCTCCGTGACACATCACGCACGTTCTACCTCTAGAATTGCCCCATAACACCAGTGAGCATTTGTTTTATGATAACCGGCCTGTTAGGCGGATTTTATGTAGTAGGCTAGGCTATGTGGTTCGCAAATGCATACACTTTTATAAATACCTCGAAGTAGCACTGAACTACCATGCGTAAATCCAGAAATAAGGACGATAAAGAGGACATCTCTGTCACATGGAATATTTGTTAATTCATTGTTGCACAAATCTAATAATAATTTCAGTTTCTGAATATTTCTTCATCATAATTAGTAGTTTATTAAATCATATGTTATAACCCTCAAGGTAACTATTAGCTTAGGCTTGTTATTAGTCAGTAGTTTATTACAGAAAAAAAATATTTCATTAGATTCAGCTAAATGTATGAGAATAATTAGTATTTCTCTGACTGATGGTAACAGGCAACAATGACAGGACAAACAACAATTAATTGTGAAACTAGTGTCTTCCTACTATCCATTTATTAATTCTCACTTAAAGGTGGGGTATGTAATTTTGGAGAAATCAGCTCGAGTGCGCTAGAATTTGAAAGTACACAACCGGAAAAAATCTGCCTCTTCCTTCAGACTTCCTTACAGAGCCCCTCCTCCAACACACACGAACGCGCACATGACCAATGAGGGCACGAGATAAGTTTGTGCACAGATGGAAGGCTGACAGGCAGGTAGGCCATCCAGTTATTTTAGCCGGGCCGGCTAAAATGATTGGTCGTGCTTTTACAGTACTACAGCTTCCACAGATGACATTTTTTTATGGATTTATTGTCAAAGCATTTAATATATTCATTGCTATCGGGATGTTAAGAGCATTCCATGGAATATAACAAAAAGTGTTTCTGAAATAAATGACATACCCCACCTTTAAGATGCTTTGTATAATACCAACAAACAGTCCAAGCTTCTCAACTTGTTTTTCCTTCTCCTCTACTATTTGAGTGTCAAAATCCTCTCAATACACAGTAGAGGGCAGTGTGTCCATGGATGCAAAAAGCAGCCTACAACAGGCCAAGAACAACAGATCATATAATTAGCTTAGATTTCACAACAGGAATAAAAAGAATTGTTTTTGATTGAGCAGCTCTATTTATGCTCTCGAGTCAATGTGGTAGCAACAAAAAAACAATAAAACCACAGATAACTTTCTATGTGGGCAAAATGTACAGATTACAAAATGTAAAACTAGTTAATAATCTAAAGATAAACTAGGAAAAAGAGAAAGGCCTACATGGGTGTTAATATGTTTTATTTATCAGAAATAAAACAGTACAAAAAGAAAGGTTTTGAACACTTTGTTTCAACAATGTGCCAATGTGATTAGTGGGATGGTGTAAAAAACAGTAATATTAGATGTGTCTTTCATATCAACACTGTAAAAAGTCTGAATGATGGATTAAAGTTTCTCAAGATGGTTCTGAACCTGAAACATTTCCATTCATGGGTGTCTGGTTATAAGTAACAAAGGAAAAAGAAAGAAAACATCGGACACATTTTATTGAATGTTTATGTTGACAACATTCTAATGTGTTTGGTCAGTGTTGGGATAGTGATGTTTAATGCTACTGTTTTCTGAATGTAACACTTCAAGTGGCCAAAAATTAACCCTTGTGCCTCGCTAGGGACACTTTTTATTTTATTTTGGAAGTTCCAGCTCAGCTACTATATTAAGGCTAAATAAAGTGTGAATTCAAAATACCGACAGTCAGTCAGTCCCAATGGAAACCCGTTAAAATCATAGTTTTGAATCCCACGATAAAAAACTGCAAAATGAAACTATCCCATGGTAAAAAAATTAACTCATTAATTGAAAATAGGCTCCGCCCTCTACTGGACTCTATGGGTACTACCTCTCAACCATACTATGCGAGCATTCACTTACTGAGATATTTATAACCCAGCAGCTTCTACTGAAGCCTTACGAGTAAATCGCCAGAACGCCGACACCTCCTCATCTCCACCGCTCCCATGTTTTTTTGTGTTGCCATATGTTAGTCTCTCTGCGTTTGTGCACTGGGCGAATGCTAATGCTAATGCGAGGATAATAAAATGGCAGCTCTAGAAAACATTTCAGAGTTTTACGGGGCGTGGTTTGCAATTCGCCCAGCCAACCAGAACTGGGGCACTTTTTTCCCCGGTTTAGAAACAAAAAGCGAGCTTTATTTAAAAGCTGAATAAACAAAACATGGCATAAATAGAAAAGCGTAGCACAAGGAAACAAAAACACAAAAACTGACCGTGAGAAACATGGAGGAAGACCGGGGAGAAAAACATGAAGCGTGACGTGACGGGAGGACTAACAAACAATGAACCGACAGGGGAACACAGGAAGAGACAAGACTAAATACAGGGAGGGGTAATCAAGGAACAAGAAACAGCTGGGTAAAGGAGGGAGAAACACAAGGGCAACAGGTGAACACAATCAGACAATCAGATAGGAGGGAAAACAGACAGAAAGCAACAGGCAAGACAGGGTGAGAACTCTTTTCAAAATAAGACAGGAAACCAAAGACAGAAAAAGACAAGACAAAACACAACACAAACAGATCGTGACAAATATATAATAAAATTGCTATTTTTTTAATTCTACCGTGTTGTGTAATGTCTATTTATACTGTTCATGCTCACTGCTTGTAGCACTTCGGGATTTGAAATCAAATATGAAGTGCTTTATAAATGGAACCCATTATTATTATTATTATTATTATTCTGACTTTTTTATTTTGGCTATTTGTATACTTGAAAATCTTTTTTTCTGTTATTGTGAACTTCACCAAAATCATATATTCTTTTCATATGTAAATTGGTTCCGCCTTTGTTTGTTTATGCATATCTTTATTTTGTACCCGGGGTGTATTTCGCTGTCGCACGTCAGAGTCCAGCTTCAGTTAGCGTTGATGCTCCAAGCAGGTCAGTCATGTGATTTGTAAAATATTCATAAAGAAAAAGTAAATCTGCTTACAGTTCTGTTTCATATGGGTGTTGAGAGATGTATCCATAGATTTAGTCCCTAATGTTGCTCTCAGAGTGCACCAGATTGATGCTTTTAACTTCAACATTTAAAAAAAAATATTCCCGGGGGAGCATACCCCGGACCCCCCTAGAGGAGGTTAGGTCCACCACCTGCCCACACCCCCCGTCAAATTGTCCCACCCACATTGAGGATGCTTCCTATGCCCATGCCTGAGACACAGTTTCGTGAATATTGTTGTTTTTTGCCCCAACGGGCGGGGGCATGGGGTTTAACAGGTTTTTAAGTATCCCATGTGTTAGTGAATTTTTATATATTTTCCTTTAGCAGGAAATTAGTATTCAAATTTTGGTCCCCCCCAATGTTGACTCCATGGTTACGGCCTTGGTGTGGTGACTCGATGTTGTTGGACGACAGGGCGTTTAGGCATCAGGGCTCCACCCACTATACCCATAGAGTCCAGTATGAGCATTTTGGTTCCCTTGCATCATTTTAAAGCGTGGCTGGATGAAATGTTATTAGATACCTGTCATTGTGAATAGGTTGCTAATTTATACCCCTGTAATTACTGTATGTTGTGATGTCCTTTTTGTTTTCTGTTGTTTTTATGTGTAACCAATGTACTGCAGGTCTCCCTTGAAAAAGAGATCGTTGATCTCAATGGGATTTTTCACCTGGTTAAATAAAGGCTACAAACAAACAGTAGAGGGCGGAGCCTGTGTGAGATATAACGGTGGGTTACGTATTGTAACCCTAGTTATATAAGCACAGGCGGAGCCCTCTACTCGGGGCCCTGTCTGTCCTATGCTCCTCGCTGAAGAGAAGTGTAGGATGACGGGAACGGGAGGCGTGCCCGCCTTATATACGGTGGGCTTGTGCACGCATTCGGGTAGGCCCGCCCCGGGGGCCGGCTACGGTTATAAATATCTCAGTAAGTGAATGCTCGCATAGTATGGTTGAGAGGTAGTACCCATAGAGTCCAGTAGAGGGCTCCGCATGTGCTTATATAACTAGGATTACAATACGTAACCCACCGTTTTGAACACTTGGTACAAACAATGTGCCAATGTGATCAGTGGGATGGTGTAAAATACAATAACAGCAGATGTGTCCCTCATATTAACACTGTAAAGAATGATGGATCATTGTTTCTCAAGGGGGTTCTGAGCCTGAAACATTTCCTTTATAATTAATCATGGGTTTCTTTTCTGGTTATATGTAACAAAGGTCAAAGAAAGAAACAAGAAGAAACATCTGACACATTTTTTATTGAATGTTAACCAGCGAGAGTTTTTCATGTGTTTCAGTGATGGTTTATACTGCTGGACAGGTTCCAACACTGACCGCTCCACTGACCAGAGCCGCTTTGCTGAAGCTCACTCGGCTGTTATTGATGGTCAGGTTCCTCATACAGCCTACGTAAGCCTTCCTGGTGGCAATGCCCTCTGGGAGGAAGGGATCTGAGAGGTGGAAGAGTACATCACAGGATTAGAAAGGAGTAATGTTTGTTTATCAGGAGATTATCAGAAATGTATTGGTGGTTCACCTTGGGCTCCACCGATAAACACCGGCTTCTTGGCATCTGTGGAGCTGGGGTTCAGAGGTCCAACCACATGGTTGACCTCAGAATCCACGTCCAGCTGGACAACGTTGGCATCACGGATCACTAACATCAAGCAGGAATTGATCAATTGATTACACAGTATTCTTCAAGGAATGTAAAAGTGTACTCAACTTCAGTATGTGAGCAAATGTTCTTAGTCCACACTCAAGTGGCCAAAAGTGAACCCTTGTGCCTCTCAAGGGACTCTTCTTTTTTATTTTGGAAGTTCCACCTCATCTACTTAATTAAGGTTAAATAAAGTGAATGAAAAAAAAACAGAGAGTCAGAGATTAAGGCATAAAAATGTCCCCATGGAAACCAGTTAAAGTCACCATTTTTAATCTCACTATAAAAAACTGCAAAATGAAACTATCCCATGGCAAAAAAGAACCCTTTAAATTATAGCTTGTGAACAAGTTTTAATTCCTATATCTTTTATGAATTGTCTTTTATTTCCATTGTTTTATGTGTTATTGCCTTCGTAAAGCACTTTGCCTTGTGTCTGAAAATGAACTATATAAACTAACCTTAACCTTAATTGGGAAATTCTCACCAGTGATTCTGTTCCAGTGGCCAGCACACAGACTCTGTCTTGGTTTCACCTTTGTGAAGAACTCATGAGACCCATCATTCACAAAACCACCTGGAAACACACAGCAGCATGTTATTTATATTGAACAGAAGACGTGTTTTCAATTGACATAATTTGACCTAAATATGTCGTTTTCTGGAT